CAGGGCGGGGCGCTCGTTTCCGTTGACAGGGCGGGGCGCCCTCCTTGGGTAATGGTAGGGGAAACTAACTTTTAGCTAGCCTTTTTCCTTTATCTAATATTTGCTAGCCATTTTAATATTTTTTAGCTTTAAAGAAACCTTTTGATACTTTTAGCTTTAGCTAGCTTTGTACTACTTTTAGCTTTCTGTAAAACTTTTACTACATTTGGCTTCTAGTGAGCCTTATGATATGTTAGCTTTTTGCTAGCCCTTTATCTCTTATTAGGTAGCATTTTTTAAAACTTTTCTCCTTTTTGTTATTTTTAACTAATATTTTCTACTTTTCTCTTTAACAATTTGCTTCTTTTAGCTTTAACTCAGTTTCAGATGTTTGATTTGCATTTAGAACGTCACTTTATTTTCACAAAAAAAAATGCAGTTTCTCTGGTTCGTGATTGATTTCTCTCCATCTTTTGTTAATCGTTTAGTTTCTGTGTTTGTATCACTCTCGTTTGGACGATGCTGTGAAAAGACGCTTCTCTCTAATCTGATGTTGTTTCCACAATCCGCCTTTAATCCTTCAATCTGGATCAGAACAACTCCATTCAAGCCCTCCTCCCCTCCGGTAAAATAAAACCACACCGAGCTGACCTCATAAATCTGCACTTTATAACAACTTCACAGCTCGACGGCCCGTCAGATCCAGGGCCTTCTCACACTTTGGTTGTGGTGGTTCCCACATTCGGATCAGAACACGTGGAGAGGTCAACAATCGGGCTGTTGTGTTCAAGAAGTGACAGGAAGTGACTGACTGAGCGATATCTAGAACAATAACGGACATATGAATCCAATATATGATATTTATGCTTGAAAAACATTCATATCTTTATCATTGTGACAATGTTTTTGCTCGTATTTGTCTGTTAGCAAAATATCTCATGAAAAACTGAAAGGATTCTTCAGAAATTTGCGAAATATATTTGTTAGTTAAACGTCTTTTGGAGACAACCCAATTCACGATGACAACCAAAACAAACTTATCTTAAAAACACAAGGCTCAGTGAATTTTAAAGACACTGAGCTAAAATTCAGTGTGGTAGTAGCTGAGAGTGATCCCCAACTTGTAGCCTGAGCGTGACATTTTGTAATATTGCATGAGATTGCGCTCAATGTTTTGTCCCAAGCAGCTTTGACTCGAACATCAACATAAAACAATTTTTGTCTAAAACTTTGATAGGCGGCGAAATGCTGAAAGAAATTATGGGCCTTTAATTTGGAACAGGCATTCACTTGGGCTACTAAAAAAATTAAATGCCTGAAATTGAGGCAATTAGATAAAATATTTCATACCACTTTAATATAAAAGCCATTATTATCACTTTATTTTAAGAAGAAAAGAGGATAAAAGCCCCAAAGTGAAAAGAAACAACTTCATTTTAATACCACTCCGCTCATTTTGACCAGAACTTGTTAGGAGTCACCTGATCCGAGTCACATCGAGGTTCGGACATGGTTGTTAGATGGTATCAGCGTAAAGATGTGACAGAAAGGGATGATGTCTGAGAGCTGAAGTGGCCCATGCTGGGTCAACAAACTCCCAAAAGTGGTTTATAATCTGTAAAACCATATTAACGAGATGGTTTATGCCACCAGGAATCGTCACGGCCAGAGACCCTCCTTCACCTGCCAATCTTCACAGTCCTCCCTGCAGGCCCAAGTGGAGACACTGAGAACTCCGCTCCGCATGTCGGACTCCCTGGTTTCCCTTTTCCAGACGAGGTTTCCTGACACTCGTTTATCCTTCAAGGCTTTTGAATCATTCTTGGTCTGAGCCTCCTCGGAGAAGAGCCGCTGCTCTTTTGTATGGAAGGAAGTCGGTAAAGGTGGTTCAGACATCGGATTAGGTTGTCTCCCGGAACTGGCTGGAGGGACGGTTCATCTCTGGCCTGGGATCACCTCAGTGTCCCCCAGGAGGAGCTGGAGAGTGTCTCTGCGGAGGGAAAGGTCCTGGACCTGTTGCATGACCCGACCACAGATAAACAACAGAAGACGGAGATTAAAGAGCAAAGTTTCTGGAACTGCTGACAGGTGTCTGGTGAAAAGACCTGTGGACTGGAAGCTTCAGATGTGGGAATTACCGTAAATATCAACAAAGATGTGCCACTAAAACGTAGTTACTGTAAATCCTAGAAAAACTGCACAAAATAATTTGCAAGCCCAAGATAACTGTAAAGGAGGGAAAATTGTGTAAAATATTTAAAAAATGTGTAAACTGTGTAAAATTGTCGTAAATTGTAGAAAAGTTGAACCACCTATCATAAAAACGTGTGCAAGTAAATAAATATATATATTTAACAGTTTAATTCTACTGAAACTACCTAATCGATCCGAGTCAGATAAGATAAGACTAGTGAGATTTACCAGCATTACCATTAAAAACATTTATCTTTGAATAAAATGAGAAAACATGAAGCGGTGCCTCCTGCGCTCATCAGAACCAGAACTCCGGGGTGATATTACCACTTCCTGTCAGTCTGCATGAAAGGGAAGCGCTCCGTTGCTCCTCGATACCCGCGGCGGTGCGTTTGTAGCCGAAGGAACTTCAACAAAGACCCTCAGAGAGCCTGGACTGAAAATTCATGAGCCCAGCTTCTCCTCACGCCGGAGAGCTCAGCAGGAGTCAGACGTCACTGATCGCTGCCAAGGACCGCAGCCAAAATGGAAGAGGTCATTTATTCACTTGTGCTGAGTTTTGCAATAAAGAATAACAAGTTATCTGCTTTTCCTCTTTGGTGAAGTCGCTGGTGTCTACATCCAGCAGACACTGAGTGAGAGACGGGGGACACACACCCTGGACAGGATGCAAGACCACAGGGACGCACAGAGACAAACAATTCACACTTTTATCCACATCTGTGGACAAATAAATCACCAATTAACCTAACATGTATGTTTGGTCTGTGGGAGAAAGCTGGAGTGCCCAGAGAGCTAACTCCACCCAGGAAGGCGAACCTGCCACCTTCTTACTAACAGTTCTAAACCGCTGCTCTGCCGTGCTGCAGTTGTGGTAAAAAGAGATTCCCAAAACAACCAGGTGTAACTTTCATCAGATTTATTTACAAAGCTTCGGAGGACAGCCAGCTGTCACAGAAGATCAATGCATTTACAAGTTCACACTTGTCATGCTTTCACCCGTCTGAGGCTCTGACCCGTTCTGACTTTCCAAAATGAAATGGTTTTGTAGAATCACCCAGGCACCAGCCTTCAACCGCCCCCACCCTCACTCTGCCGAGCTGTTATCTACAGTCCCAGCTGGACACAGAGACACGTCAGGGAATTGGTTGTGGGAGAAGGAGACAAAAATGTTGAAGATAATAAAAATGAACTCTTCGCTGTCTCTTTACTGACCGGTCACACCAAGACTGATTATTACACGGAACATTTTAATATAATTCACAATCACAGTACAGAAGCTGTAAAACTTATGGAGCCTGCTTACTACAAATAATACACATCCCCTCGACTCTGGTTCATTTGATTCACCGGGGGTCACTGTACGTGCTTCGTTTTTCCACGGACTCGCTCTATGGCGGTTTTTCAAAATAAGTTTAGACATGACGCACAGTTTGCTGATTGATGGATGAGCCGCACGATCGGCACGACGTATTTAAAATTTTTAGCACCTGCTGCACCTTTGTGCAGCCCACACTGCAGGAGAAGCTTCTTCCTGCAGCGGAGAAGTGGGCGTGGCCGAGAGCACTCGCAGGTTGCAGAGAGCAGTCGAGACAGAGAGCTGAAATCGTGACATTGTGTGCTCTTTTAGAGCGTTTAGAGTTTAGAAACGTTGTTTAGAATATTGCAAGAGTGTGGAAAGGGTTTACAACACCTTTATATAATATATATTAAAATAAACTACTAGTTACTACTTGTACTACTATTTCTACATCATGGTTGTTCACTTATTGTGGGGCTTCAGGTTACGAATCCCCTGTGATAAATGAGGGACTACTGTATTTTTGTTACAGCGCCACATGCAGGCCTGGCATATTCACTGCAGCATCTTGGGTCATTTTCTGCGTTTCTATGGGGACGAAAACGTTTATAGAAACGGTGTCGTGACACATTAAAACATAGTTTCAAACAAGGGGCGGCACGGTGGCTCAGTTGTTAGAGCTGTTGCCTCTCAGCAAGAAGGTCACCGGTTCAAATCCCATCCGGGGACCTTTCTGGGTGGAGTTTGCGTGTTCTCTCCGTGCTGCGTGGGTTTTCTTCGGGTACTTCGGTTTCCTCCCACAGACCAAACGCATGCATGTTAGGCTGATTGGTAATTGTCCGTAGGTGAGAGAGAGAGAGTGAATGGTTGTTTGTCTCGTTTGTCTCCATGTGTCTCTGTGGTGGACTGGAGACCTGTCCAGGGTGTCCCCCACTTCTCGCACAGTGATGGCTACATGTGAGCACCAGTGACCCAAAAAGGAAGAAGCAAATAAAAGATAATGGATGTTTTGAACAAACTGCGTTCCCATGTGGACCAGGCTTGAGAGCAGAGGTCACCAGCTGGTCCGTTGCTGCCTCTCTGCACAAAGCTGCCTCCAAGTGGGATGGCGACTACCTTTTCTACCAGGTCCCGTGTATAATACGGCTAATGAAAAGTGGGTTTCATTAATATTAGAGCTGTGATTAGTTGCTAGGAAACCACATCACTTTCATTGAAAGCAGCAAATGAAGGTGTAAGTAACAGCCCGTTGTTCTCTTTGTTCCCGTTTGTCTCCGTGCAGAAAGCCGGCTGAGAGAGAACACCGTCAGGTATATGGAGCTGCTGGAGGACAGGCTGCACAGGTACGGTTCTGTTCGGTTCTCTGTTCCACAGGTTTAATAAAACAGAACAAAACCCTCTGAGGGATTTCCTCTAACCAGATAACGCCACGCACTCGCACCACTTCTCACATTTCACTCCGTCTCTCACCTTCCTCTTCCCACCTCATGTATTTCTATACCTGTGTGTGTGTGTGGGAGCTCCTTTGTCTGCCTGTTAGCAAAATATCTCATGAACCACTGAACGAAGCCCTCAGAAATCTATACTTTGAAACGAATTAACTTTTGGAGTTAATTTAATTCGAGATGCACCACAATTATTTGACCTCAGCCACCATTAAAAAAAGTGTCTAACTCGTCCAGATTTAGAATCAGAATAAGTTTATTATCACTGCACCGATGTACAGCGAGATTATGTCCGTACACTCGTCCGAAAGATGGGCAGAGTGCACGTTGCTGCTGCTTCTAAGAGCGCGGCCCCTTATTTTTTACACAGAAAAGTGGGAAAGGCCATGATGAAAGGATAGTGGTATTACAGAAACGATCTCTTCACACCTTGTCCTCATCAGGACACGATTTAAGACATCAAAAACTCTACCAGCAGCACATTTACAAACATATTACATATGCATATGATGACAAGACGGTGAGATTTGTCCACGAAGCTTTTCCAGGTAGCACCATAGTCCTGTTAAGATGTTGGTGTCAGCCGATACAGTTCTGATAAGTGTTCACAGAAGTTCTGGGGTGGGATAGAGCAGAGCCTTCTTAGTTTACACATATCCCAGGAGAAATGTGATCAGATAGCCTGCTTCTAAGCCGAATGGGGGAGTCAGATTCAGATAAGCCACAGTTGTTAATTTTTTTCAGGCACACTGTTATTTCTCATCAGCCTTGAGTCCTGCTGGTACTTTCAATATCCAAAATGGTCAGATTTGTGGGGATTCCACCGGTCCATGCTTATTATCTCCCTCCAAGGTCGTCCCCAACATGCTGGCGAGCTTCAGATTTGAAGCTAAAAGTTGGTGTGATAGTAGCTGAGAGTCATCCCCAACACACGTTCTGAGTGCTAACAGATCCTGCGTAGCATTATCTGTTCAGGTCATTTTCTGTCTTTGTCCTGTTCTTGTAACTCGTAGAGCTCAGAATCCCTGAGTCCAACAGATTTAATGAGGACTGTGTTGGAGATGGGGCGTGGAGCCCACCTTCTACCTGCTTATGTTGTTTTTTGTGTTGCGTTAAAGCTGCTTGTCATCTCGTCACTTTCTGCAGATTTTACTTTGTTTACCGGAGCCCGAAAGGCTTTTTATGCAGCGTCTCCATGAGTATCGTTTTGAAAAGCTCTTATTATCAGAGACCGTTTGTCTGCTTGTTCCTTATCCCTGTTTGTTGTGTTTGCGTCATTTTGAGTTGCATCCTTTGAGAGATGGAGGCCCCTCTCTGGATGGCAGCTAGCAATAATTTACCACCGTCTCATCACTTCCACACCGCACCAATTAAAGGCCTCTCCACTGCCGGTACCCACCCGGTTTATGGCACCATCTTGTTCGTGGTTCGTATACGTATTTTTCCCAATTTTTCATGGCTACGGATTTACAGAGAAAGATGTGCGGATTTTAAAAAACCTGAGCTTCAGATTTATTTCACGTCTCAGAGCCGACCTGTAAGGAAACGCCAAGTTCGCCCCTTCCTCCTCGCCCTCTTTTCTCTGATTTATCTTCTTTCGGCTGCTCCCTTCTTCAGGGATCCACACAGCGAACTAACTCGCACAAAGACTTGGCGATTGTTTTTACACTAGACGCCTTTCCTGACGCAACCACAGACCACCGAGCTACCACAGCCCTCTGTGTGGAGCAGAGAGCTGCCATCTAGGACGCCCGGGGGAGCAGATGGTGGGGGTTAAGGACTAAGAGCCTTGCTCAAGGGCCCAGAGTAAGGTGGAGGCAGGTGTGGGTGTTTCTCCTTTCCCACCCACATTTTGATGTTGTCGGTTCGGGGAGTTGAACCGGCGACCTTCCGATCACAGGCCCAGCTTCTCTAACCTCTGCGTCACCACTCCCCACCGGTCAGTTTTACAGATAATGAGCTAAAATTTGGTGTGCCAGTAGCTGAACGTCGTCCCCCACAGAAGTTCACTTTTGGAGTCGACTTTGCTTGTCTGTTAGCAAAATATTCCAAACTACAGGTCTTCAGTTTTCCTTTCATCACCGGTCGTATTCATCATTAGGCTCTCAAACGTTTTAAACAGCCTTTAAAATCTTTACTTCCAAATCACAAACACACCTGCGCTGCCGCTGACGGAGCGCCGCGGTGAAAGGAGGTAAAGAGAGGAGGAGGGAGGCGAGAAGGCTGGTCGCCTTGGCGACGGATGGTGTCGAAAAACCCCAATTATCTCTTCCTTACCGAAGACGTGAACAGGATGTTGGAGCCGCTGTGTGTCACCCACAGACAAATAAAGACATAAATAAATTTTAATTGAATTAGCGGCACCTCGAGTTGTTTAATACCATCTGGAGACGATCGATTAGGAAAGTGCTTCCTGTGTTTGTCCCACGTTTTCACGCTCCGCAGAGATTTGGCCGTCCTTCTTCATGATCCAAACCGACTGGAGTAAAAGTCTGCCGTCGTCATGCAAGAAACCCGAGTGTAAATTGATTTAAATGAATAAAATCTTCAGTTTAAAATCCAGCTTCCCTCAGAAACACACCTGCTCTGTCGTTCATCACGCATCCATCTTTTTTTTCCCACGTTGTCATGAACACCTCTGCACAACCTCTTTTTCTTTCTAACATTTTAATTCCTCTTATTCTCAACACTGACATATTTCTAAAAAAAATCCATTTATCTCCTCGTTACTCACAAGTGTTTACTCGGCTGATATTTTCAGATGGTTCTGGCTTTACACTGGCTAAAAATCCAACTTGTGCTGAAATTAGCATCACTTGAGGGAATGCACGTTGCCTGCCAACACGCGTGCAGAAGATTTGAATCAGGATTTCAAACAATGTGTTTTGTCCTGGAGTATGTGTTGGGGATAACTCTCAGCTACTAACACTCCAAATTTTAGCTCACAGTCTCCAAAATCGACGGAGTTACAGCCATTTTTATGTTTGAGAACGAAGATAAATTGTGGTGGCCATCTTGAATCAGGTTGACTCCAAAAGTTGATCAATCGTAGACGTACATCCAAAAGTTTTGATAAAATCTGTCTAGTGCTTCAGGAGATATTTTGCTAACAGGGATGACTCTGGCATGATCTATTAGCACTCAAAATATGTGATGGGGATCAGTCTCAGCTCAAACCACATCAAACATTGTCGGCGTGTGTGAAGCGGATTGGGTTATAACCATGTTTATGTGTTCTAAGTAGTCATGCCGCGATAATCAATTAATCGCACGATAAATGAAAATTATCAACCTCATTTTCATTTATCGGCTTTATTGTTTCTTCGTGTCGCTCTCTTTCTACTGAAGACACTGGATGACAAAAGGCTCAACTCCGGTGCTCTTCACTGATCTCTCTCTTTCTCTTTAAAATCCATTTTAATTGTCCAAAATCACATTTTTGGATCATTAAAAGCAGCTAAGCTGAGAAGCTAAGCTACGAGCTAAGCTAACAGGCCAACCTCGAGAAAAAAAAAAGTCTTGTCTAAGCGCCAAAATTCACGGTTGAAACCTGTGCCTTTCTAAAAAGTTGTTTTTCTTTGCAAAATGAAGCTGAGAACTTGTTTACGGATTTTTTATTAAAAGCTTTGTGTGACAAATGCTATGCTAAAGAGCTAAAACCACACCGAGTGTCCGCCATTTTGAAAACTGAAAAAAGGAAAGAGAGACGGTTCATGTCACGTCAAGAGGTCTCCCTCTCATTTTTCTAAAAGAGACACGCTGCTCGCTCCCTCACTATCCATCCTTCGGTTCAAACAGTCTTATACTGCCATCCGGTGGTCAAAAAAAGGTACTACATGCAAAACAAATCAACATTTCTTCTTAAATTTTACAATAATTACTAATTAATGTCAAATTTCAAACAATTTTATCGTTTATCGCTAAATTTCTGAAACAATTAATCGCCCAGCAAAATTTGTTATCGTGACAGGCCTAGTTCTAAGATCAGTTGGCTGTGGCGGCCATCTTGATTTCCAAAAGGCTGTGCGTTCAGTGATAATTCTCTCGGAGTTTCAATAATATCCACTTTGTGGTTCATGAGATATTTTGCTAACAGAACACACAAACACAGTCAGTGGGCAATAATATTCAGACAGTTAGTCGAGCATTTTGTGGATCCGGCCGGAACTCCAAGTTCACCTGCAGGACGTTCTGGTAAACCCTGAAGGACACAGAGCGGTTCTGTCTGTCAGCAGAACCAGGTCACCGCTGGAGGACTGTGTCTCGGTCTCCCCTCCGTTAGATTAGCGGGCCTTCAACAGCGCAGCGCGCCCACACCCTGCCTCCGTCAGACGGTGGGCCGAGCGGCTGGCACCAATTAACCCCCAGGCGAGGAGTCGGTACCAGCGGGTACCAGGGTGCCACCGTCACCGGGGTGCCGAGGCGCTGACAGGTTGTGAGTTTTCAGCTCGGATGTCAGTGATTTGTAACGAGCTGTGGCAGCCACTGAAGGGAAGCTGTTGTGACAGACGGCGCCAGATTGGATATTTTTAGCAGAATTTATGCTGGCGAAGCACAACTAGAGTCGCCAACTGTCCTTTAAAATAAAGGACTGTCCCGTATTTAAAACTAAAAAGACGCACTCCTTATTAAGCTGATGAGCAACACTTTCTTCCTTATTTTTAAGAGCCGGTGTAAATCAGTTTATAGGTGATAAATGAAACAGCTGAAACTGATTTTGTCTAATCGGAGCTGAAGAATCACGTTTTTTTTTTCTGTTGTTGAAAACAAGAAATACACTTTAGATAATTGAGGCCACAAAGAAGTTTGTTGTTTAAGCTGCTTTTTATTTTTTAAGTTGAACAATATTTTATTTAAAATAATGACAGATTTTAAACACAGTTAAGAAAAACATATTTCTGGAAAAATGCGTGACTGAAGCTGAAACACAGATACAGCTAAAACAAGCAGAACACGAGCTAAACATAAACTTCTCCCTAAAAGTTGCTAATTGCTAGATAAAAGACAGCAAAGACTAACTAAAAGTCCCGACAGGGTAACTAAAATTAGACAAGCCAAAAGTAGCAAAATGCCAGCCAAAGGCTAAGCAAAAAAATGAAATGTAGAAAAAGCATAAATAAAAACTACAATAACAGTTTTACATCTAAAAGATAAAAGCAAAACACTATCAGAATTAGAAACTAACAGAATTCAAGCTAACTGCTACTACCTGCAAATGGTTAGCTAAATGTAGCAAAAATACTAGTGAAAACTCACAAAAAATTGGCTAAAAGTAGCACAGGCAAGCCTATGGTAACCAAAGACTACCTGAAAGCTAAATGTAGCAAGACGCTAGCTAAAGGGTAAAAACAGCCAAAAATACTAGCTACATCACAATGTTTTGCCCGTCAGTTTAGCTAGCTGGAAACTATCCATAATAACCAAACGTGATTTTCAGAAATCTGGACAATGATTTTGTTTTTGCTCCACCAAACCGTAAAGTAATGCTATTCCAGGACTTACGGCTCAATAAAGCTCCACCCCCTGACTGCCCAACCCATCTGTTCTCTGATTGGATCATTCGAATTGTGATTGACATGACGTTGACCAGTCAGCTGAGAGGAAGAAAAATCCGGTCATAATTCGTACTTTCAAGTTGAAACTCATACGCAGAGTTTTACACGTAGGTTTTTTTTTGTTTTTTTACTTTGTATTGGTAAACAGACCTACACACACAAAAAATTTTTAACTTGTGTAATTGTTTTTTACATATATAAATCTTTTATTACACACAAATTCCTATGTACACATGCACGAATCACCGATTTATTTTGCAAGGTTACAAAGCTTAAATCATAACTACACAGTCTGTTTTACAAGCACAGAATATTTATGACTTGTGTTTGTACCGTACAACTCGGCTCACTCAGAACCTTGGCCAGGATGTATGTGCCGAGCTGGACGTGTGTGGGTCCACTCTGCGAAAAGAATGAACCCGGGTCGAGTCGAGCCATGGAATAAGTCCGTTAAAGATGGACTCATGTTTGCACCAGAACAATGCTGTGAAAGAGCCCAGAGATGAACTTTGACCAGATGCTAACAGCTGGACTGAGCGGCACCTGGATGAAAGTGGATTACTGCGGTCTTTACACAACTCCATTCTCAAGAAGTACACAGTGGTTCAAAAGATTTTTAGAAATTAAATAAACTTTTTCTACTTCTGTCAGTTTTAAAATAGTTTTTTTACGTACAGTAGTCCCTCGCTACTTCGCGGTGCATTTATCGCGGACTCGCTCTATTGCGGTTTTTCAAAATAAGATTGGACATGACACACAATTGGCTGATTGATGGATGGATTTTTTGTATTTAAAATAAATCATTTAGTACCTGGTGCACATTTGTGCAGCCCATACTGCAGGAGAAACTTCCTGCTGCAGCTGATCAGCTGTTCTCGTGAAGAGCAGAGAAGTGGGCGTGGCCCAGAGCGCTTGTAGGTGGCAAAGAGCAGAGGAGGCAGGGAGCTGAAATCATGACATTCTGTGATCTTTTAGGGCTTTAGAGTTTAGAAACATTGTTTTGAATATTGCAAGCGTGTGGGAAGGGTTTAAAACGTCATATTATATTATATATATATTTATATATATATATATATATATATATATATATACAGACTAAAATAAATTACTACTTTGTGGTTTTTCACTTATCGTGGGGCTTCAGGGTACGGATCCCCCGCGATAAAAGAGGGACTGCTGTACATCAAATACTCATTAACTTCTGGAGTCAACCCAAATCAAAATGTCCGCCACAGCTAACTGACTTAGCCCAGCAAGAGTGGTTAAAACTCAGTTTCATAGCTATTGAGCTAAACTGTGCAGTGGTAGTAGCTGAGAGTCATCAGGAACTCTGAGCAGTAAGAGCTCAGATTGAACCAAAACAGCTCAAACTCTGCTCTTTAGCAACATTAAACAATTTCTGATCAAATTTATGGCTTTCCTTAAGCAACGCTGGGTTTGGTGTTAATGTATTTAGCTTTCTGGTTGTTTTATAATTACTTTTTCAGAAAAAAAACCAACCCAAAAGGATTTTGATTTTCACCTTGTTGCAGAAAATTCATTAAAAAATGACCTAAAACTTAAATATATCGGTATATTCAGTTTCATACGTTCGACTGTTCGTCCAGTTACGGCTGTCCCGGCTTGGAGCGGATCTGGGAGGCTGACCTGGAAGCTTGTCACCTGTTCCTGCGTGGCCTGCAGCTCCGGACTCCCAGTGTCAGCGGGGCGGACGTGGAGGACCTCCCCGCCACGCGCGTGAGTCCTCCGACCCAACCGCCGCCTGAAGAAGAAGAAGACTGCGCCATGCTGACGGCTTTAGGCGGACGTTGGTGTCCTGAGGCCAACCTTCAGAACTCTGAGTTCACAAAGGTAACAAGAACATACACAAATAAACACAGAATGTGGTTTATCAGAATATGTTTATCCTGTGAGGTGATGATAGAGAAATATTTAAGAGGAGCTGAGGTCAAACTGGAGCACAAGTCTTCGGACTAGTGTGCGTTTTGTTTCCGTTTTTGTCCCCCATCATGGAGCAAATAGGTTCACCTGGAAATACCGTTCATCTTTTGAATTGGATAACCATTGTGGTGTGTGGCTGCATCTACGTACGAACGATCCCCATCAAAAAACTGGGTGGCCCTGTCAAACTCCAAGATGGCTGCTGCCATATATGTATGCAAACTAGTCGCCTCTATCATTTGAGGCTTTCTAGTTTTTGTCTTGTTTTAAAGTATAGTTTTCTCAAATTATTGGGGTGGCCCTTGGGGTGACTGAGGGTTAAGCTATAGTGGCCAAGGCCACCATTGGCCACCCCCTGGCTCCACCACTGCACCTGGTGGTAAAATTGCTCCCTCCACTCTCCAGGATACGTAACTCTGCGCTACTTCAGAAGACCCAAATGCCGTATTTTTCGGACTATAAGGCGCAATTAAAATTCTTAAATTTTCTCAAAAATCGACAGTGAGCCTTATGTATTAACTCTGGTTGCGCTTACTGACCTCGAACCGATTTTATGTGGTTACTGTGAATGAGTTGAATAAAATTTGACTTATCTGAATTTTGTTACGCTTAATGCGCCTTATAGTCCGAAAAATATGGTAAACAAAATGAACCTCCTTCCGTTCTTCGCCTCAGTGTAACTCCTCCCTAGTTGAATATCTTGCACCACAAACATTAAAGTTTATTGGATTCCCTGTTCAATTCCAGTCTAGTAAAACACTCATCTTGAAAAGTACAGACGTTCACGGTTAAATTCCCTCAATGACGGGGGACATGGGCTTGTTGTAACGTGGCGTGGAGCGTGACCTCGATCTTACCTGTTCCACCAGCCGCCTGACGGCAGAGGACGTTTTCAGCTGGGGCAGAAGAGCCTCAGATCCTGTCGGCCGCAGAGAGCCGAGCCGAGCCGTTAGCCTGAAGGGATTTCTGAAGGAAGAACATGTTCGCATGAGGGATGCAAGCGTTTGGAAACGCTTTGGTTTCCTCAACATTTTTATTTAACGGAATTTCAGAATCTGTTTCTGCATGATTGAGTTTAGTGTGCGCGCATCATCTGTTCTGGTCTGTCCCGCTGTGAGCCGAGGTCCGCTGCCTCCGGGCCGAGCCAGACTCATTCATACTCTCCTTCCACCCACGAAGTCTGATAGATTTATCCGAGACGGGAACAAAGCCAACAGAACCAGGGATGAAAAATAAATAAATAAAACGGGACTGGAATTTTTTGTTTAATTTTTATCTTTTGTGGGGATTGAAGTTTATCCAGATGTTTTCCATGATTTTTTAAATTTACATTTTTATTGATCAGTCGCAGTAAATTAATCTTTTCCGGTTCTGTCGGCTCATTCCTCTGTTCAAGTCTAAACTCTTCCTTTCTTTAATCCGGTTTAACTTTTCCCTTCAGACCTCTGAGCATCCAGTAATACTCCCTCTGCCCCCGTCTTGACTTCGTTTTACAAACTGCATGCACCCATTGTCTGCTCTCTCTTTGTCTCTCTCCGTTTCTCTCCTCCTGAAGCCCGGCTCCTCCTAACGAGAGCTAAAAGGTGAGACAGTCGGCCTTTTCTCTGTTTTCTGGTTTATGTCCTCACAAAGACAGAAACTCTGGAACTCATTGTTAGGCCTGTCGCGATAACAAATTGTGCTGGGCGATTAATCGTCTCAGAAATTATTGCGATAAATGATAATATTGTTTAAAATTTGACAATTAGTAATTATTGTCAAATTTAAGAAGAAATGTTTAATTTGTTTAGCATGTAGTACCTTTTTTTGACCACTGGATGGCAGTATAAGACTGTTTGAACCAAAGAATGGCTACTGAGGGAAAGCGGTTTGTCTCTAAGAAAAATGGGAGGGAGGCCCCTTGACGTGACACGGGCTGTCTCTCCTTCCTTTTTTTCGGTTCTCAAAATGGCCGACACTCGGTGTGGATTGAGCTCTTTAGCATAGCATTTGTCACACAAAGCTTTTAATAAAAAATCAGTAAACAAGTTCTCAGCTTCTTTTTGCAGAGAAAAACAACTTTTTTCACAAAGTCACGGGCTTCAACCGTAAATTTTCGAGCTTTGACAAGACGGAGGTTTTTTTTTTCCCTGAGGTTGGCCTGTTAGCTTAGCTCGTAGCTTAGCTTCTCAGCTTAGCTGCTTTTAACGATCCAAAAACACAATTTTGAACGGTTAAAACAGATTTTAAAGAGAAAGGGAGGGGTCAGAGACGAGCACCGGAGTCGAGCCTTTTGTCATCCAGTGTCTTCAGTAGAAAGAGAGAGACACGAAGAAACGATAAAGCTGATAAATTAAAATGAGGTTGTTAATTTTCATTTATCATGCGATTAATTAATTGATTTATTGTTTATCGCAACAGGCCTATTTCATTGTATCAAAATTCACCCCAAAATTCATCCTGTGGCTCCTTGTGTTTGCATTTGATTCTTTGTGTTCACTCCATCTGTGCCATCAGTCAGTTTTTGCTCCTCAGCACTTGCCCCGCCCACTCTCACCTGCTCCCTGTTGTCAATCTGCCCAGGTGTCTCCACTCTATTCATCAGCCCCGGCTCATTTGCTCTTAGTTTTCACCCCACCTTTATTTTAGCATCGTGTGCGCTTTAATTCCATTTTCTTTCTTGTTTCCTGTATTGCATCGTATATTTCCGCTGCTTCTGCACTTTTTGTTTCCGTCTAAGAAATCTTGAAATTTATTTATACATTTATTTGAACTTTATTTGATACGGAAGAGGATTAGGGCCACGATACAATCTATTTTTTACTTTAATTCTGAGATTAAAGTCAGAATCCATCTATATAATTCTGACTTTTTTGCTCATTATTGAGGGAAAACAAACATTTGTTTGCATTGTGGCCCTAATCCTCTTCTGTAATTTTACCAGGTGGAATATTTGAAAATTTAAAGTTTCAACTTTAAGCTGCTCAAGTTTGTTCTTATTCCCACGTCAAATCTCTAAAATCCGAGACACAACTGGCTGGAAGTGATAAAATTATTTTTTTGTCAATAGGTGGAGGAGCCTCCACGGAACCTCCTTTTCCCCACTGATCAGACGTTTTAGTAACGTATCAAAAATAATTACATATTTAACTTTTCACAACAATTTTGTCCTAAATGAAGCAAATACTTTAATATTCAGATTCAGTTTTAGTTTTCAGAATCCTAAATGATCTGTAAAAGAAAACTAAACAGCAGTTTTAGTTGTTTCACTCTGGTTTTTAGACGATTTCTGCAGTTTTCCTCAATAGTCATAATGTTTTGGTTGATAAAAATGGATCCAGTTAAGATGCAAGTTTTTTAACCTTTAACCTGGTCGCAGAGTTGACCTTCCTCGAGCAGCCATTTTGTTTCGTTGTCATTCAAACGACATATTTATTGGATAGAAGGAGCAGAAAGTCCATTTTGTGTAAAAAATGAATTTATTCGGTTCTTTTCCGTCACTGGTGGTCATCTTTGTTTACCTGAGAGAAAAGTATGGCTGTTTAAATGCTGCCCCGTTTTTAATTAAAAATATGAATTAAAACCACCGATTATTTGTTTCTCCGCTGTCATCTTATGAACTTGAGTCGGCCTCCAGGAGCAGCGGTAATTACCTCCCTCCTGGTGAGGAATGAATCCCAACAAAAGAAACCTGCAGCCCCGATCAGCACGTTTTATTTTAGCTGTTTTTTCTGTTTCTTCACGCTGGCGATGAGTAATTACGACTTCTTCACAATATGATGCTGCTGCACACACACGGTTCACGTCCAGCGTAATTGGAGTTTGAATAATTCATGAAGCGGGTTGACGACCGTGTGACCTCAACAATTGTTCCCTTTTGTTGCAGAAACTGGAGGAGTTTTTGTTCTGCATGGAGGAGACTCAGCCCGAGGTGAGTGATGCTAACAGCCTCCCTGGATGTCTTGGGTGGAACCGAGGAATGTTGACCCCTGAGGGGGGTGGGAAAAAAAATCAACTTAAACCTGACCCCTGCCAACTCTTTCACTGTCAGATCAATATTGATCTCCAACAGAAGCCTTGGCTGCTTTCCCAGACTGAGCTCATCTTTAAGGTTTTCCACAGGAAAGGGCGAGGCAGGGTGTTTGCTGAGCGGGTTTTTCTTTCAGCTCTTTTATGAATAAAAATCATAAATTGATTCTTCCAACTAGAGAAAT